GCCAGGCCCTTCGCTGCACCCCTAACTTTGTGAACATGGACAGTGCTACGGACAGAGGGACGTTTCACAGAACCGCTCACACCAAAGCAGGCAGAGTCTGTTCAAAGCAGCATTTACCTACCAGATGCTGCTGCCTTTTTTTTTTTTTCTCATTTATCCCACCCATCCCAAATGCAAATGCCCCTTCCACATGGGAGGATCCTGCACTAGGGTAAATCCATAAGCACCTGCCAATCCTCACTGTAGGGGACAGTGCAGAGCAGGGCAGCGCTGAGAGGGTTGTTCTTGCTGAATTCCCAGCCGTTTTACACTGCTCCTAGGTTAGTGTAAAATGCGGGAGAGGAGTCCAAGGGGTGCAGCAGTGACAGGGGTGCATCCCCTAGAACAGAAAAACACTCGTTTTCCTCCAGAAAAGCACTGCCCAGCCTGGGTAACGCAGTCAGTACGGTGAGAGGCACTGCAATACTTGCCATGAGCACACACAGCTACAGACCCATGCGGAGCCTGTCCTCCCCCTGGCTTGTTCCCACTGGGTTAGGAACCCCAGGGAGCCCCAGCGGCAGGAGCGGGGCTGGGGACGCAGCCGTGCCCGGAGGGGATGCATGGATACGGCGGCACAGGGATCCAGCACTCACCTCTGAGGAGTCGGCAAACTGCACAGCACGTGCACACTGAAAGAGGAGCCGAGTGTTAGGACTCATCAGGCCAAATTAGCATGTCCTAGAAAACACTGCTCTTAACACCGCTTCATATTCTGCATGTTAAGACAATGTATGTTTTGACATTGCTCCTCTGAACAGTTACAAAGTTGACTTCAGGGTCCTCTGTGCAGGAAAGGACAACTCTATGCACTAGCAAGGAGCACGGGCCCAGGAAGGTGACTCACCCAGGGCTATGTGCCCAAGGGTGCTAAGGCTGGGATTACCAACAGCTCCCTGGCTCTATTTTCAGAGCACTAAACAGACATGACTTCTAAGGAGGCTTGGGAACACAGAGAAGCAAAGCATAGAGCAGAGCAAAAAGCTGCATAAGGATAAACACACGCTGCAGTAGTGTTGCCTGGATTTCTTCATTATTCATAGATTTGCCACCTTCTAAAATCAGTCTTGTGGGGATTATATTTTAGTGAAATTACTACAAAAATGAAAGTAACCTAGGGAAGTGCACTGCACTCGTGAGTGCAAATGCAGGTGATTCCCAGGTGTTCACAAAACCTGTGGCCTTAAGAGCTTCCCATGCAGAGGGTTCGTGCATCAGGACACAGAGAGGTACTCAGATATTCCAAGTGATGGGACACGGTGACAAATCCAAAGAAAACTGTACAAAAAGATGACCAAATCCCAGCCCAAATGCTCCATTCCTCTTTCTGTTCAACTTTCAGGGCTGTAGCACAAATCGTAATGGCAGGTGGAGTGAAGGACAGAGGGACATGGTGTGATTTCCATTACTGATCATAAGTTTTTGGAGTTTCACTCTCATGCAATATACGTGTATGAGCTGTTCTCATACCCCTTCCCAGAATCCTCCCGATTAGCAGGACACAGCTATCGGGGCACATCCTCACTGCGGATACCCCCACCTTCATTCTGTCCAGCTGTTCTCATACCCCTTCCCAGAATCTTCCTGGTTAGCAGAACACAGCTATTGGGGCATATCCTGACTGTGGATACTCCCACCTTCGTTCTGTCTTGCAAAGGCTTCAGAAATTAAATTCTGGAAAACCCCAAAGCTCAGAAACGGCCTTGACTCTCTCCTGCACAGAGGAGTGCAGCGCTGCAGAGACTCACTGCTCATTTCTGCCTCGAATCATCCGGCCTGCGAATGATCTCGCTCAGGTTAGGCAGGAACAACCCTCTCTGCGGGTTACGCTTCGCAGCAGGCGCTCATCCTGGACGGTGTCAGCTCTGGACACTGGCATCCCTTGATGCAGCACAAACCTCTTTCTGCCCGCAGTGCTTTTAAGGCAATAATGCAGGGTTAAGAAGTGCTGAAGCCCACTGGTAATACAAAAACATCTGAACATGGACTGTTCCTGGGCATTTGCCAAAGCAACAGGACGGCCTTGAGAAGTATTTGGAAATACTGCTCTGGAGCTCCTAGTTCTCCCTGCAGACAAACAGAGCATCAGGCATTTACAGCTCCCAGATCTGCCTGTGCACGAGGCGCAGGTCAGGACATGCATCGACACTAAAATATCCTCGAGGCTGCCAGGAGGCTACATGGAGAAACGCTGAACCAAGAGCAAAGGGGGAGCTGAGCCTGGGATGGGTGGTGGCCCAGGGACCCGCAACCCTGCACCTGCTCTAGCGAAAGGAGCCTTGTCCCGTGTGTCACTTCCATGTGGCTGCTGACTGTGGGGAGCAGGAGGACAAGG